GATTGGACAGCCATTTGTCTGAAATGGTATAGGGTTCCTGCTTGAACAGGAGGTTGGACTGGAAAACGTCCAAGGTCCCTTCCAACTCTGTTATTCTGTTAAACGTAGTTTTTCTCTTTGGCAGTTGCTCTGATACATGGCCTTCCTACCTAATTCTGGCCTCTGAGAAATGGTGCCCACTTGCAACATAGCACCGTGCTACCTTCACTGTATAGGGAGGTTGAGGGACCAATCAGCTGGCTCTTCTTTCTGAACATTTTTTTCGGAGCTCCATCCCTCAGCCTCTCAATACAGTGGAAGCCATGTAGGCCATCCCAAAAGCAGAAACCATTTTGGAGCAGCTGCAATGAATTGCGGCTGCTCCAAAATGGCAGCCATTTTGAAGATGGCACCATGCAGCCTCCAGGGAGGCAGAGGGCCAGTTCTCCTTCTCAACTGTGATCTCCAAAGCTCCAAAAAGGAGAGCTCCCACAGTGGATGCCTCATGGTGTCGTTCTGGAAGTGGATGCCCTGTGGCCTGCACTGTCTGGGAAGACGGTGTGGAGGAGCCAGATCGAAGATCTACCAAAAAGGTAAGTGATGGGGAATGGGGAGACCCAGCACCATGAAAAGCAGTAAGGCCAAGACTTGCAGGGACACAGTGGATTGGGAAAGTAGGCCCCATGCCTCAAGGAAAACACTAGGCAGGAAGTGGAGTACAGGGTGCTTAATTCAGAAGATGGGGGAGGTTCCAGGAGGCTCAGGGCAGGCCACGTGTAAGTTGGGGAGGTGCTGCACTGCAGGCCTGGGCTAAGGGCAGTGTGAAGCCTCCCAGGGCCTCCCCCATCCCGAGGCACCCCATGTTCTGATTAACTATTGCAACAGAGAAATCAGGGATTGGGGTTAAGTGAGGCAATTACTTGGGCACCTCACTTAATTACTGACATGACTTGTGGCAATAATGGGCAGGCTCCGTTACGTTCATCAGCTGAGGTCTACTGTAATAAAGCAAAGATTTGAGATAATTTGTGGTAAGAGTTCATATAAAGAGAAACCAAAATATACCATTTTAAAGGTTATGCATAAGCTGTTCTTTTAAATTGCAGTCTAATAAAATTCTAACACTAAAGTTAGCCTTCTAAAAGCCTCTTCTCCAATGCCAGGCTAATTGCCGCTATTAGCTGAATAACACCATCAGGTAAAGTTTGAATCCTACCATACCACTATTGAAATAATAACTTGGCTCTATTATTTGTTCTAAGCAAACATTTGCTTTTGTAAGCAATTGCCTTTCATATACTCATTATGAAAACTGAATAATGAGGAAGAACTAAAAAAAGAAGAAACAAGTCTTTAAATTATGGATCTAGATGCAGTTGCTAAGAATGTGAAGGACTGCAAGATGAACCAATCATTCTGCCCTGGCCTAGATAAAGGCAGACTAGTCCCTTGAAGTGCAATTCTGTAAGCAATTATTGACATATTTAGGAGATGCAGTAAAGTATTTCTCCTTTCTAGTTCCTACATTTCTGACATGAGGGATAATAAATTTATTTATTATATATAAAGAAGTTAATAACAGATAATAAACCAGAAAAAGTTGAACAGGTTGAGGAAAATAAAAACAGAAGAGAAAGTGAATGGACAGTATTTGTCACGTGGATAGACAAAATCAATCATGCATAGCTAACAATGAGCCATTCATCATTCATCTTCTAACCAGCATTTTATAGAAACATATTCAAAACTAAATGATTTAAAAAAACCCTGAATGTGTGTTCCCTTGTAGATAATTCTTCTTTAGCAATTGCCTTATTTAGCAACCATTTGCAATTATGACTGTGATGAAAAGTAACTTTAGCACTAATCCTTCCATGTAAAGCAAAGAAAGGCTGCTGTACAATTACAAGCACAATGACAGTTTCACTTAGCAACTGCTTCATTTATCAACCAAGTTGCCAATCACAATTATGGTCAGTAAATGAGGATTACCTATATCTTGGAAATTATGGGAAACTACAATAAGATATTCCAACAGCTTTTTCCATCTCAGCCTCACAGAAATTCAAGTAAGCAAGTAAGAGGTGAATAGCAATAGCAAACTGTTTCATTACAGACAATGACTGCACCTGGATCTAATCAACCTAACAATACCCAGCTGCAAGAACAAGTACAACAGCTTTGCTGGCTGAGGAATTCTGGGAGTTGAAGTCCACAAGTCTTAAAGTTGCCAAGGTTGGACACCCCTGATTTACACCATATATTCAAAGAAAAGGTTTTGCAGTAGAATCTCCATTAATGCAAAAACATATTTTTAAAACGTATTTTATCATGCACTAAAACTTCTAGGAGAACTTTCGAATATTAGTGACTAAGTCAAAATTCAAAAGGCTCTGTCTTTAAAAATGTGGGAGAAAAGATAATGTAACAGAACAATCTGGTCCAAAGCCTAACTATTATATCAAACTTCATGCAATGGGGGCAATATATAACAAAAGAGGGGGGAGAAGTACAGATAGAAGTAGACAGAGTCAACTCAAAGTTACCTTGAGAAAATTACCTAAAATCAAACTCCAACTGGATTTTATACAGCTTGAGCCTCTCTTTGCCTTTTTGCAACCCCTAAGATTAGTACTCTTAAATTATCAAATTTAATTTGCCTTGAAATTTATCTGGAAAAAAAAAATCAAAATATTATATCGGTATCCCGGAGATATAACAGACCAACGTAAAAGGAGATGGGAGAGTGGAAAAATATGGGGAAAAAATTGTACCCTTTGAAAGGCTTTTTAAAATGACAGTTCACTATGATATGACAACTTGCAGAGAGTATAGCAGCTTTTCACATCCTAGAGTAAGGATTAAATTGCAGGAGTTAAATAACTCCATCTCAAGAACTCTAAGAAGATCAGTGACTGATCTTTCCTCTCACACTTTGCATGAATGCTTGCCAGCCCGAATATTGCTCCTCTTCTCAAACTGAACCAATTCTAGAAGCTGCAAGGCCAGACTTTCCTTCTTTAAAGATTGATTTCTTTCAGATTCAGATAACTGCAGACAAAATACAGACTCTCTACCTGCAGGGAATTACTGATTTCTACACATGGTGATATGGGGGAAATATTAGTTTCATAAGTGTAATCAAGTTTTTAAAAGACATCTTGCTTTTCAGATTTTTTTTAAAAAATTGCAGTTGCAGGAAAGAAAATGCTGAAATCTTCAAGAAGAAAAATGATACATAATTTAAAGATGCTGAACTTTGTAGAATAGGCTAGAATACAACAAAAGATTATAAAAGGCTTGAAAGCAGAAAAAATGGAGTACATAATAATGAAGTGGGGATATAAGATCTTTCAGAACATGAAATGTGTCCAATTAAAAAGAAGCAAAGCAAGAACATTCCATTAAAAATACATCAGCCATCATGCTTATCAAGCAACACGCAACACTATATGCTTTGATACTAAAATATGTGATCATATGTTTGACAAGAATTTGACAGGTTTGACAAGAATTTGACAGGCATGAAGGGGACATTTCAGAACTGAGGTGGTCTTCAAATGCTATATCAGTAATGGGGGGGGAGGGGGATGGCCTTCAAAAAAAAAATAGCAAGCAGTTCTCTGCCCGGTTGATGGTAGGCATGGCCTAGCCTGCCTCCTGCACCACGGGGTGGGGTGCAGGCTTTTCACCATCCCTGGGCTCTGGAGGTTTTCCTCGAGCTTCCAGGAGGTCAAAAATGGCCTCCCTAGGCTCCAGAGGCCTTCTGGAGGCTGGAAATGGGCCTTCTGGAGCCTCCAAGAGCCCTCCCCAAGCCTCCCTGCAAGCCCTGCACTTACCTGGGATCCAAAACGGGCCATACTCCTGGGAGGGTAGGGGTGGGCGGGGCCAGCCAATTGTTGCAACTACTTATTCAGTGAACCATATGTAAAATCAACATCCAGTTCGCCCAAACCACTGTGAACCAGTAGCAGCCCACCCCTGTCAGTAATGTGTTTTACATTTATTGCTTTTTAAAAAGCTAGCAATTCCTCTTTGTCATAATGAGCAATGCAAGTCCAAATACCAATTCATTTAGCCACTGTTTTAGATATGCATGAATCGCAAAAATGTAAAGAGAATGATTTGAATATTTTTAAATGACTGACAAAAGTTAAAGTGCTACACCATGGTTCTTAACAAATTGTTCTTGTTCTGGCAAATAAAATCTAAAATTTCACACTGCAGCTTTCAGACACTGAAACTGCGAAAAAGTATCTCAGATCAGGAAAATGTATTACCCATTTCTGCAAATTCATTTGGTTCAGCAATTCTACTGCCACCTAGTGCGATCTAGACACAATCAAAATTTATAAACAGAGAGTGATGGGTATGTCTCTGCTAAGAAAGGACTAGGGATGACATGATCTCAGACTTTCAATATTTGAGGGGCTGTTACAGAGAAGAGGGGGTGAAATCTATTCTCCAAAGCACCTGAGGGCAGAACAAGAAGTAGTAAGATGGGAAATTATCAAGACATACAACCTAGAAATTAGGAGAAATTTCCTATCAGTGAGAAAAATGAATCAATGGAACAACTTGCTTTTAGAAATTGTGGGTACTTCATCCCTGAAGGTTTTTAAGAAGAAATTGGACAATCATTTATCCAGACAGGTATAGGGTCTCCTGCTTGGGCAGGGGGTTGAAACAGAAGACGTCCAAGATTCCTTCCAACTCTGTTATTCTGACATAGTGTTCATTTTATGTTTGAAATTGTGGAAATTATGCTAATTATAATTATGTTATAATTAATGAATTACTCATTACATTCTGTCGCATGCCTATCTGCTTCCTTCCTGAGCTTCAAAATAAATAATCAGACCCATCTTGCAAAGGAAAAGGCACAAAAGCAGTATTAGCTTCCAAAAGATGCAACCATTTCTATTTGAATGCCAGTGACAATTCCAGTGTATTCACATTTGAAAAACATAGCCATGGTTCATCAGAAAGTTATACATTGTAGCAAAGGGAGGGCACCTTACCTGAAAGTGCAAAATTATGGTCCATATTAATCCCAGTGTCAATTTAGGATTCCCATCTGTTATGTCATCATTTCGAATGTTCACCAGTTTCACCTGTTGTGGGTGGAGGGGGAGAAATGTGCAAAGGAATTAAAACAAATGCAGAAGACAATGTGCAATTTTTCTCTTGTATATGGTTGCAGTGAAGAAAAAATCAACTGGCTGTTGGTGCACTATAAGTCTGGTTTATCCTGTTCCTCTTTCTCCATGAAGCAGAGGATGCCTCTAGAAAAAGCAGAATTCTTCTAACAGGATAGATGATGCTTCTATTTTTGCACAGGGATAGCTTCAATTGCAGGAGAAAGTTGGCCAGTTAAAACAAAGGAACCAATTATATTAATCTTTTCAATTGATTCTATTACTATTACAAAAGATATCTGCATGTTAGCTTTAAGAGCTAAGATTAGCAGATTGGAACTCCTGAGCTACAGCCAATTCTCAATGCCATCAAGAGATTGAACAATATCTGTTAAATTGACAGGGCAGGACTAAAAAGACAAAGTCTAGACTATGGACCCACAGAACAGCTTTGATCTCATTCACTGCAATGGGCAATCACTGTTGTGTTTGAAGCTTCATTCTTGTCTGCCAAGTCAAAGCAACATGTTGAAAAAGTGTCTGGAGAATTATGATTTCCCAATGGAGTTTAGCCTGTCACTAACAATCCTTCATCTGTTTAAGGTAATCCACTCTGGCTAATGAATAATATTGAATATAGTCCCTAAGATGCAGCATTAAAGTTTTGGCTATATTCATCAAACCCTTCTGTCCTAATTTATAACATTTTCCAAATACTTTGAATTTGCTGGTCTATGACGTTATTCAAGTTAATTGGTTGATTTGATTAGAAAGGCTTTGAGAGTCTTATTATTATACCATGCTTATCTACACTATTATTTACTTTTCAATTAGGATGGAAATTATATGCTTGAACTTAAACACATGATGTTCAAACCATCTGAAAAAAAAATACCCAAAAAGTGTCTGTGTATGCACACTCCGAAGCAGCTATCAGAGTCTTTAAAAGGATGTAGCTGCTTTAAAGATTCAAAAGAAGATGCATCATTCATTCTCTCAACACTTTCCAAAGGCTTCTTTTAAATGCTTTACATTCTTATTATGCTGGTAAGATATAACTCAGCACATCTCCCTGCTTGTGGGGAAGGCTTCCCCAATATTCCAAATGTATCTTTATGTTGTTTGAACGTATGTTGATTTTCGGGTGGGGGGGGGGTTCCACTTCAATTTTTCTACTTCTACTTCAATTTGTTTTTGCTACAAATGTAACCTTGACACCAAACATTCCTAGGAATCCAGAATCCTTGCTAAACATAGAATCTAAATCTTAACAAGGGAAAGCAGACCAATATTATCTTTTCTCCTGCTTGGGGTATTTTTTTTTTATTTTCATATGGATTTCCTATTTAGTTTGTTCCTCAAACTTTCAGTTCACTGACCTCTTCATGAAGTTCAGATTGTTCACTTACCCTCAAACATTACATGAAAATAATTTAATACATACTGCTTTAACTAATAGTACTACAAATAATAATTTGTCAGCACTGACAAAATCACCATCAATTAATTGTAAAAGGCAATTTTATTTGGAACAGCTTACATCCTGAAACAATACCTGTAACATTATCACATAACAGGTAACAGATAACAGCAATATCAGCCTATCCCAGATTCTGGGGATACAAATAGTCCTCGACTTAAAATCACAACTGAGCCCCAAATATCTGTTGCTAAATGAGACATTTGGTAACAGTTTTGCTGCATCTGATGACCTTTCTTGCTTGTTAAGTGACTCATTGCAGTTGTTAAGGTAGCAACATAGTGAATCTGGCTTCCCCATCGACTTTGCTTGTCAGAAGGTTATAAATGGTGATCACCTGACTCTGGGACACTGTGACCGTCATAAATAGGAGTCACTTGCCAAGCATCTAAATTTTATCATGTGACTTTTATCAGTGCCACTGTAAATTTGAAGAGATCACTAAACAAACTGTTATAAGTCAAGGACAACCTGTATTTCCATCAACCTTGGGAGTTGATGTTGGGGGACCCTGATTTAGTTGCTGGTGTACTGTTCAAAACAACTTTGTAACTTTTTTTCTACAGAGACAAATATATTTTAATGTTTAATGTTAATATCAGTTTTTATATTTCATTTCTAATTTTTTTAATATAGATCCCCTATGAAATTAGTCAATCATGTAACAAGACAAAGGAAGAAATAATAATCTTTTCTTGAATGAACAAAAAAAATGGATGAAACAACTGAAAAACATGACAGAGTATAAGAGAAGTTGCAAGTGAAAGAAACCTTTTCCTATTCTAATTCACAGTGATGGTATCCTTATCTGGAGCTGTAATAATTTCCATGAATTTTAAAAGAATTCCCATTTCCTCCCACTGATCTGCTCCCTAAAATGGAAATTTGTGGCGATTGAGTATAGTCAATTGTTTATTGTTCTCTTCTTTGCTAAAACAAGAATATTTAATCTCAGATTAGTTATAGAAACAAATCACAGTAGTCAAATTTCTACTATTCATTTCTTGAAAATATACTCTATTCTTGGTCTGCTCTTAATATGTGGCTTCAGCTCTCTTCTACTAGTTCTCACCAGAAATGTCTAGCATACAGATTATAAGGTTCATGAAGAGAATACCAAAGATGAAATAAACACTTTAAAACAGTGGTTCTCAATCTGTGGTCCATGGACTGGGGCGGGGGGGGGGCATGACAGCTTGAAGAAATGTTATGATTTAAATCTTGAGTTAGGTCTTGGGGGTCTGTGGCCATAGTCCATGGCAGGTATTTAAAGTGGGGTCGTGATAAAGAAAGGTTGAGAATCACTGCATTAAAAGATTTCTCTGTTAGCCCTTGCTAACATGAAGTATGCAGTGCTCAATTCAGAATTATGCCTCAGAAACTACATTTTTGCCAGTACGTTCACTGAATCTAGCCTATTAATAAAACAACCCTATTCACAATCACACAGCAATTGCACTTACTGAATTTGCCAACATGTATTCCTAAAGTAGATGAGATTTAAGTCTAAAGCAGAATTCACATACTCTGATATACAGTATTTCCTTTCACTTCTGAGCTACAGAATTAGTAATATTGATTTTTTCCTATTCTGAAAGGAGAAAAAAAACAACAGGTCAACATGACCTGTAATACAGTACATTACTAAAGAAAAAAGATAGATGAAGAATATTAGAATTCCTAAGGACAGCCAATAAGATTAACATCATCAATATAATAGGTAATAAATATTTTAACACAGAGATAAAAATGGAGAAAATATTGTTTCAAAATCAATGTTTCAATTTTGTTTCTTAAATGTGGTATCTTACCTGCCGCCTTTTCAAATAATCGAGTGCAATTTGGACATTCTGTAGTCTGTGAAATCTCATCCGTCCTTTCTCTCTGGGCTAAAATCAGAAAACGGAAGATATAAGAATTTCTGTAAAGTTCCACAAATATTTTCAGATGTTATATTTCTATAATATTTTAAATATTCCTGAATATCACAGGAAAGGAAAATTATCAACAACCAAATGAAGATATTTGCATGAAATGTAATGGCTCTGGAGAAAAGCAACTCAATTTTAAACTTTACAAATGTCCTTTCCCTCCTGTGGCTTCTTTCTTTCCATGTGATTAATTAATGCATACAATAAATATAACTAAGGCAGTAACACTGCAACTACCAGACTTACGTATTGCGCCAGCATAGTCTAACATGATACAGGTTTCAGTTTCATTAATTTAAATGACAAATTAAAAGTGTTCCAATTCTTGCCAACTGAAATTAATGGGACTTAAAAGTACTTCATTTTTACTGTTCCTATAAGCAGTTTAAGCAGAAATTATGATCCAGCTTACTTTACCAAATCCATAAATTTCTTTTAAGGTTCATTTAAGCTTAATCAGCGTTTTGGGGAATATGATGTGAAGCATGTTGAAAGCAAGTTTCACATCATATGACTTATAATAGTTTGTTTAGTGGTCGTTTAAACTTACAACATCACTGAAAAAGTGACTTATGACCATTTTTCACACTTACAATCATTACAACATCCCCATGGTCATGTGATCAAAATTCACATGCTTGGCAACTGGCTCATACTTATGACCGTTGCTGTGTCCCACGGTCATATGAACACCTTTTCCGATCTTCTGACAAGCAAAATCAATGAAAAAGCCAGATTCGCTTAACAAAACAGGTTACTAACTTAACAATTGCAGTGATTCACTTAACAACTGTGGAAAGAAAAGTCATAAAATGGGGCAAAACCCACTTAACAAATATCTCACTTAACAACAGAATTTGGGGCTCAATTGCAGTTGTCAGTCGAGGATTTCCTGTACTTTGCTTCTGGAATGAAAATGCTTCTGGAGAGGTTTCCTTTAAAAAAAGCTGTTCTTATGATAACTCCCTTCTCAAATTATCCTATCTATCCAAGCTATCTCAAATTTACTAGTATGTTAAAGTTTTAAAAAAACTGTTTTGAAGGTTAAGCAGGTAAGTTATCAAGAGAAATCGTCAAGTAGTTTCAATCAATAACTATATTTAACTTCCTGTGTAATTCTAGTTAGGTAAATACAAACTAAGTAAAAATAGTATTTGCTAAGATACATCAAAAATATATCAAAGGCATGAATCTCTGAACAGGGAACAGTCTACAGGCACCAGTAAATAGCAAGATATAGCTAATGTTCAGTCTATCAAATCCCAGTAAATTACAGAATAGAATGTAGTTTGTTCTGACCTAAGAAATCATGTGAAATATATATTACCCATCTAGTGCAGATTTTTTTTTAAGAAGTTGAAATATAAGAGCTTCATTTTGTCATCATGACTGTCATATTAATTTCTTAGACTGGGGCACTGTTTCGTGGTTTTTTTTGGTTTGCATTTTGGGATGTATACTAAGACCTTATATAGAATAACCAGAAAGCTGGTTCTCAAAAAGAGACACAAGGGAAATATTCATGAGAATTTGGAAAGGCACACAAAAAATTTTTGAATCAGGTTAATATATCCCCATAAATTTTTGCTCAGGGAAAAGTTGGATTTACGTAACCAAATATCAATGCCCTCCAGGAAAACAAAATCTTATGGTTGACCAATCCTGAACAGTGTAATATTGCTTATGTTTAGCCATCAAATTACATATTTTTCTATCCCATAACCTTAAGCACCATCATAAAAATGTGCAATCTCTTTCTTAAAAATACTTACACAACATGCATGAAGAAAGCATCAGTTACTATACAAAACCAAAAATATTCAGCAGATTAATGATAAACGTGGCAAAATGCATGCAGTTAGTATAAAAACCACAAAGAGGAAAACTCAACAGAGAAAAAGGTCCCGAACGCTTAACTACCCGAGAATAAAGGGGGAAAAGTTGCATTTACAAATATCAATGCCTTTCTTCCCAACTTCAGATTTTTCACAAACCTTTGCCATAATGGACAAAATTCTCTACTGTCCCAACTCAAATCCCTTGTGAATTTTGTAATGCAAGTATATTGGCATATTGAAACCAAAATCACAAACGTGTGAGCTATTTCACTAAATCTGTAGCAATATCTATCCATCATTATTTGTACAGTTGGCGCATCTTTGCAAAATAAATATATGTCCTCTAAATGTTTGCCATTTAATAAGGGACATACAGTATAGTACAATAAAGAGGTAGCTATTTTGGCAATTTTTTTTAATAGCCTTCCCAATGCAGCTCATGGGATGTATCCAAGCCATTGGCACCGCTCACATTTTTCTAGATTAGAAGCATTCCCCATAATGCCAATCCCATTGCCCAATTCTTTCTAATGAAAATGTTGCACACCATCACAACTGAGCATTACTTTTACATTAGCAGTCGGCACTCTTCACAAACTGTATTAGTAGAGTTATGGGGGTCGGCACCTACCCCCTTATCCTCATCCTCCTCATCCTCATGCTGTTCAAACGGGCATGCTTCAGTTGAACTCACCAACCGTAAGGTCTTCAAAAAATCTCGCTCCCTTGGCTAATAAACACAGACAGGAGACAGGAGAGCAAAGACACAAGACAGACCACAAATGAAGAGAAGAATATGAATGGAAGAACATAATGAAGGAAGTAAGTGCCAAGCAGAGGAGAGAACGTTCACAATGAAAGGAAAGGACATGATATCAGAGGGGAATGTTAGACAATTGCAGCGGGAGCAATACCAAAACACAATTATTTTTAATTGGAAAAAGAATATTTTGCATCCCTCACATGTTGGATGATTTTTTTAAAAAGAAAAGAAAATCAGAAAATCAAAAGGCAACTATTTAGAAAAGATCGTTTTTCTATAGGAACAAAAAAAATATTAGATTATTAATTATGAGACATTCTGATCCCTCTTCCCCAAAGCCTCCCAGTTGTGGAAACAATGCATCAAAGAAATACTGAATTAAGATAAGAACGAATATCAATTAAATCTGTAAAACAGTTGCGTTAAAATTAAGGAACTCACTAAAGTATCTCCTGAAAGGACTTCCAAAAGAGAAATCAAGTTATGTCCATCTCTCAGATCTTCATACAGGTCATTGACATGTTTTCGAACCTAAAAAGAAAATAAGATTAAAAGTCAATGTGTGGTCTTTTTCCAGGAGAAATATTTGTATACACTCCTGCTGAATGCAGTGACATTTATACCAAGGTAAGTGTAGAAAAGACTATAGTCTTACTGTAAGAAATTGTGTTGCAAAGCCTAGGGAATACATACATACTAAGGACAATCTTAATGTATTGAAAAATATGGCGCCTAGAATATAATTTCCATATGATAATCACTTGAAATTCTCATCCCACCCCCCCCGCCAACAAAGACTTCAAAGTGAAAAGAGAGACTATGGGATGCAATAATGCATATATACCATTTCAGTATTATTTCAATTAGAATAAAGAGTCCTTGAAATTGAGAAGAACCATGCCTATTGTTTATCTGATTAGCAGGTAATGAGGTAAATTATTTTTCTATCAATTATTAAAGAATACTTTGCTGTTCTCTAATAAGAAATCCATTAGAACATATGGTTTTACTGTACTTACCAAAAGGGAAGAAAATGATAGTAAAATTAAAGATGAAAATTATTGTGTTATGATTTACAATAGTTAATTTACTTGGACTCTGAACTACAGCAGTCCTTCCATTAATAGTTACCAATAGTTACTTACAAACAGTGCTATTTGGAATCCCCACCCCTACTCCCCACTATTACAGAGAATACACCAGTCGTCCAGACCAGATTCTTGGGAGCTCTAGAGGATTTAAAGGATATGGGAATGGAGAAAAGTCACAAACATACAGACTTCTGTTAGTAAGGAGTGTCCATGAACAAATCCTCTAGTCACACTATGTTTTAATAGAAACAAAGAAATTCAGAAACCCAGTTAATTTATTTAATTCTGCAGAGGGGCGTGTGTGTAGAATATGCCAGATTATATATACTTGTTATTAGGCGAAAATCATAGCCTCCAAGTATACCCTAACTCAGTGATGGCTAACCTTTTCCTCGTTGCATGCCAAAACTGCATGCGCGTGCTTCCACCAATAATGCAATACATGCGTAACCACCTGCATGCACACCATGTGCCTCTGTGCATGCGCACATAACTGCCTGCATGTGCACCACGTGCCTCTGTGCATGTGACTTCCCGCGTGTGCATCACGTGCCTCTGCACATGTACGTGACCTCCTGTGTGCGTACTGCATGCCTCTGCGCATGTGCGTATGACCCCCCTGTGCCATGCGCCTTTGTGCATGCGTACCCCATCCCCATGCATAGCATGCCTCTGTGCATGCACATGTACCCCTGTGCCCCTCCACACCCGTGCATGCGCATGCATCTCCTGGCTGCACATCTTCCTGCACATGCGTGGCAGATACCCGACAATCAGCTGGCTGGTGGGAGGACGTGTGCATGCAGAGTGAGGCTGTTTTGGATGACCTTTCGCGTGCTGGCAGAAATGACTCTGCGTGCCACTTCCGGCCCGCGTGCCATCACGGACCTAACTACTTATTTCTAGAAGCATGGTGGCTCCAGTGGTTGAAACTGGCAGGAGGTTAGCAAGCCCATGTTCGAGACCCAATAGCTGCCATGGGGCTGGGTTGAGCTCTCGTCCTCCACTCCAGCTCCTGATGGGGGCATGAAAGGAGTCCCCAATTGGGCATTCCCAGGGTAACAGTGATGTCAACGGCTAATCCTTTTAACCTGGAAGCGCTTTGGTGCTTCTGACACCAACATGGAAACCCTTTAGTGCTTCTGCCACAAGCACAACTATTTATTTGAGTTAACTCATGTATCATACAGAGGTGGTATTCAGCAGTTTCTGACCAGTTCTGGAGAACTGGTAGTGGAAATTTTGAGTAGTTCAGAGAACCGGCAAAACCACCTCTGATTGGCCCCGCCCCCATCTATTCTCTGTTTCTCGAGTCCCAGCTGATCATCTGGGTCTTCTTTTGTTGCCTTGCATAGGAGAACGGAGCTGGAAAGCACATTAGTGGGGTGGGGAGGGAATGAGATTTTGCAGTAACCTTCTCCCAGAAGTAGGGAGGGAATGGGGATTTTTCAGTAACCTTTCTCAGCCATGCCCACCAAGCCACACCCACCAAGTCACACCTACAGAACTGGTAGTAAAAATTTTTGAATCCCACCACTAGTATCATATCCAAGAAACATAATGAAAGGAGTAAGCAAGCTGAGGAGGGAGAATTGTTCACAATGAGAGGAAAGGATGTAAGAGGGGAATGTTAGATAGCCTTTAGTCAACTGTGGCCATATATTACATTCTTTGATAATGGTGAAGAGGGTGGTACTGGTTAGCTTTAGCATAGTTTAGTCATCATGACACAAGCACAACCAAATCTCAGTTTTACTCAGTTTTATTTTTATTCTATTCAAGTTAGGATCTTTGTTCTAGGGAACTATCTTGCAAATTAGCTTACTATTTCTTGTATTCTACAAAGTAAGAAATAAACACAGTGTGCTATTACACTTAGGATACATAGCTGAAGCTAAATTATTATAGACCAGTGAAGTGAAGTTAGTTTTCAATTTGCATTTAAAACAGAATCTGAGGAATGGGGTTAAAAAAAATTAACTGTGACAACCCCTCGGCAATTTGAATTTACTGAATAATTATTCCTTCTGGTAACAGCCTAATGAATATGCAAGTACTACCATCCAAATGAACATCTTCCTACAACAATTATTTGAAGAAAGCAAATACATACATTTATGTGTGTGTGTGTGTGTGCAGTGTCTTTGTGTGCATAATGTAGCCCTAATACCTTACAATTATTTAGAGCCAGATTTGTTTCTGTATTCAAAGTATTTAAATATATATGTGTGTGTGTGTGTGTGTGTGTGTGTGTGTGTGTGTGTGTGTGTGTTTTCTTAAGTTTTCATGGGTATTTATATGTATGGTATTCAGCTTTGTTCGGGTGTTTTCCCATGTCATTATATTGTGCTTTTAAAGTTGTAGCAATGTTTCGACAGAATCTCATCTGCCATCATCAGGCTTCTGTATTGTGTTCGTCTGTGAAAGTCTGACTCACAAGCTGCACTAAAAGCCTCCAATACAGGAACACAATGTTGCCAGCCAATCAAGACAAAAAAAGCTACAAAACAGACAGAAGATATTAGAAACACCAATCAAGCAGAACACAGCAAACTCCAAGACCAATAAACACAGACCAAGACTCCTAACCAATCAGGATGAAGTAAAAAACATTCTGGCACAGCAGTAGGCTAGCCCCAAATTTAAAACAGAAAGAGCTGTGAAAGTCTGACTCACAGACGAACACAATACAGAAGCCTGATGATGGCAGATGAGATTCTGCCGAAACGTTGCTACAACTTTAAAAGCACAACTATAATGACGTGGGAAAATACCTGAATAAAGCTGAATACCATATATATAAATACCCATGAAAACTTAAGAAAACATACACACACACATACATATATGTACATATATGTATGTATCTTCGTCGCTTGTATTCTTACGATTTATATGGACTTCCTAATATGATTTGATTGCTTATTGTACCCCATCTATTTATTCATCCATCCAACACAATAAAAATCCTTCTTCCCAGAGTACAGGGCAGATCTCTAGCTATTGTAAAATACAGATTCTCCTACAGGAAGCTGATCTTTAATAAGAAAATAATGGCCAGTCCTTTTCCTTCCTTCCTTCCTTCCTTCCTTCCTTCCTTCCTTCCTTCCCTTCCCTTCCCACTCCTGTTTCTACATTGCTTTTTCATAGGCAGAGTTCTGTCTCTCATCTTTATCTTGAAGAATTAAAAAAAAATCCTTTTGTATCTTGGAAGACTTTGAAAGGAGGAACATACTTGCTAAATGCCATAAACAGCATAACAAGACGCTCACTAAGGAACACGTGACAGCCAGTAGCATTCACAGATTGGTTTTAAATACAGACAAAGATCCCCTGTCTTGACAGAGCAATATTCCCACACTCCAATGGACCATCACTGCTCTGTAAAACTGCTTGCTCCACCTGGTTCAAAAGCCTTTCTCAAGAAGCAGTTCACACTTGAAAAAAAGTTTGTTTCCTCTCCTACTCATTGGAAAACTAATGGAAGACACGGAGCAAAAGGAAACGATCCAAAATCTGATTTAAAAAAAATGGAAAAAAATATTGTTTTGGGGTTGTTGTTTTCTTTCTATATCCACCTCATGTGTAATTATTTGAACTGGTAAACAAGGCAAGGACGCCAACAAAACCATTAGTGAAATCCATGAGAAATACAGTATAAAGCAGGCTGAAAGAATCTGTTCAATCCCTCAAGGTTTATTGTGAGAATCTGACAATTAAACTATGTGTTGCCTGAGGCAAGCAGGCTTGTGCAACAGTGATAGCACAGCTGGGTTTGGGAGGCTTGGCAGTTTGGCTGGAACAAGAATTCCAGCCTTTAGGGGGAAGAGAGTAACTTATATTGAAGCTGAAGGAGAAGGAGAGGACATGAATCGATAATAAAGAAAAATACCTATGCAAAAAAAAACCAGAAACCCTGTAGAAAGCAATGGTGGCAATTCACAAACGTGGGAAAGATTAAAAAGCAGTGAGTTTGGTCACACATGAAGTTAACACTTAGTTTACTGGACAAATTTAATGGACAGGAATTAAATATGTACATTTATTATATTTATTAAAAGATCCCTCTTGTTTAGCTCATAAATAAGAATTACCAATGAATCCAGCTTATGATCATATATGAATTGGTTATACCATATTTAACATTGTAACAAAAATAGTTTATTATTTAATGATTAAATATATCCTACTTTTCTTTTAGTAGCTCAAGATAGTCCATAAAGTGTGCCCTATGTTTCCTCACTGCAACAATTTTGTGAGTTTAAGCTGAGACAAAGTGATTGGGGTCCAAAGTCATCTCCATGGTTGAAGGTGGAATGTAAAAGCCTGGGTTCTTATTCTGCTCCTAGCTCATGCCTGTCACTTTACTAACTTCATTAGGCTTCTAACTCCAGCCAATTTCATTGACACAACTACTTAATTTAAAGCAATGGAATATGG